AAAAAAAAAAAAAAAAAAAAAAAAAAAAGAAAAAAAGTAATCTGCCCGGTAACAATCAGCGCGCAGTAGCAGGAGCCCCAGAGCTATTGGCTATGCAAATAGAGGGAGGGGAGACGGCGCCCCAAACTCTTACTCACCCTTTTAAAGCGATATTTCCCCCCTTCACTCCCCCCACCTCTTCCGCCCCACCCTCGTTTAAAGGGGCTGGCCTCGGGGCCTGAGTTAATCGCTAGCACCTCTGGTTTATTCACTCCCCGCCTTCTCTATTCCACTCTCCCCCCTTTCAGGGAACCGAGTGTACAACTCACCCAGCGCCCCAACCCCCGGTCTCCACGCCCCGGTTCGGGCCCCCTTTCTTGGTGAAGGAGGTGCTCGGTGGATCACGGTGTGTCCCGAGCCCTGACCCACGCCATGCTCCCTGCACGTGCCAGCTGGGCCAACTTGCTGGGGTCTCTGGGGTCTGTCCCCTTCCCCCCAAAGTGAAATTACACTGAAAGTTGGGGGGCGGGGTGGAGGGAGGAAGGAGGTAAGGAAACGCCACCATATCCCCTGTAAAAGCAGCCTTGACCCCGGGATGCATTTGAGCACATGTCAGAGCCGACTGCGCGGGCAGCATCTCCATCGCAATCCCGCTCCCCGGGAGAAAGCCCCGGCTGGCGGGTGAGGCGTGAACCCGGAGGGGCCGGCGAGGATGCCAGCGAAGGACCCAGGGTGGAAGTCTTGGGCCTCCGGGGAAAGGAAGGGGTGGTGTTGTTTGCGCAGGGGGAGAGAGGGGGAGCCAAACCTAATCCCTCCCTCGCCCCCCTCCCATCCCCTCCCCCTCCCGGGCTATTTCCTAGAAAGCTGTATCAGTGTGGCCACGCTCGGCGCAGACACCTCGGGCGGCTTGTCAGCAGATGCAGGGGCGAGGAAGCGGGTTTTTCCTGCGTGGCCGCGGGCCGCGGAGAATCCGATGGTAGCCCTGCCCCCCACCCCCCGGCCTGCGGCAACTCTGGGCGCCTCTCCGCTGCTCCCCGTGGCGCCTATAGCGCCCCCAAGAAGGGGAGGGTTTCTGCTCTAGGGTCACATTCTATCACGTCGGAGAAGCCGCCCCCTCCCTCCTAACACCCACCCCTTCCTCTTCTTCCTCTCCACACACACATGCGGGGTTGGGGGGGGGGGACGCTGTTCTGGCCCCTTTAATCGAGCTTTTGAAACAGCCTTGAAGTGATCAGGAACTCAAACGTCCGGACAGAGCCTTTATCTCTGGATTGCCAAGGTTGCTATTTTCTAAAATCGCTTTCCTTAGTCTTCAGTTAAGGGGTCTGTTTCTAAATTGCCTGAGCCTACCCCATCTTCAAGCGATCTACCCCTCATTCTCGGATCCTACATACATGGGCAGGAGTAGAAAGATCAATTTTGAGAAAGCCAAAGTTGGAGGGTCGTATTTTGGCACGATAACCCACAGAATGTGCGAAATTAGAGGGAGTAAATAGAAATCGGTGTGTTTTTTTGTGGGTTCCCCTATCGGGGCCCCTGGCATGCAGGGCTGGATAGAGGGAGAGGGCCTCGGAGAGCTAAGGAGAGGGGTGGGGGGGCGGGGGACCGCGTTTGAAGTTAGGTCGGGCCAGCTGCTGTTCTCCTTAATAACAAGAGGGGAAAGGAGGGAGGGAGGGAGAGATTGAAAGGAGGAGGGGAGGGACGGGAGGGGAGGGAAGGGGAGGAGGAACCGGAGAGGGGAGCGAGGCGAGAGGGAGGAGAACTAACTGCCCAGCCAGTTTGCGTCACTGCCTCGCAGAGCAGAGAAGAGCGAGCAGGGGAGAGCGAGACAAGTTTGAAGGGGAGGGCAGGCAGAGTTAGCAGCCCCCGAGGCTCTCCTCTCCCACCGCCCATCCCTTTCCTCTCTTCTTCCCCAGCCTCTCTCTCTCTCTCTCTCTCTGCCCCATAACTTTTCTCTCGAAAAGCCCTTATTTAGCCAAAGGAAGGAGGTAAGGGGAACCCTCTCCCCTCCCCCCTCCCAAAACCCCCCAACTTTTCCAGTCCGGAGAAAGGAGGGGAGCGAGCGGGCACCCGGCTGGCCATGGAGCTGCTGTGCTGCGAGGTTGACCCGGTCCGCAGGGCCGTGCCAGACGCCAACCTGCTATACGACGACCGCGTTTTGCAGAACTTGCTCACCATCGAGGAGCGCTACCTTCCCCAGTGCTCCTACTTCAAATGCGTGCAGAAGGACATCCAGCCCTATATGCGCAGGATGGTGGCCACCTGGATGCTGGAGGTAAGCCTGCAGACAGACTCTGTCTGTCCCCATACGAATACTCGGCCACCCCCCCCCACCCCGCAGGGACCCTAAAACTGGGAGAGGGCAGGCTCCGCGCTCGCCTGTCCGCTCCCGTGCGCGAGTTTACCCCGCGCCCTTTGGCGAGACGCGTGGCTTCGTTTCTGTTCCCTGCAGGATGCAAGACTGACTGGGGGAGGGGAGGGGGAAAAGGGAGGGGGGAGGAAAATCTGGGAGAAATGAGGCTGTCCTGGGGCGGGGGTGGGGGAGCATCCCGCGCGCGTGTGCCTGCATGTGGCTGCCTCTTCTTCCCACCCCCATCCCGACCTGTCTTTGGCGAAGCCGCGGCTGCTTTCGGTGCAGTGAAGAAGGGAGCAAGAGTGTGAAATCGGGGGCCCCAACGTAAAAAAAAAGAAAAAGCAGCCCCCCAAAGGCCAGAGCAAATTCGCCCTAGGTTCAGGTCCCCGCATGTGGTCGCGACTCCGCGTTGGCACTTAAGGGGGGGGGGGGGGGGGGGGGGGGAGGAGGGAGGAGGAGAGAAACGGAGAATTCAGGAGCCCCGGAAGTCGCAATGAAGAAACGTGTGTTTTAGGGGAACCCAAAAGAACCACTTCTTCACCCTTGCTCCAAATCTTTGCCGAGCAAGCCGTGTGCCCACGTATGCACAGCTCTGGACCTGCCGTGGTTTCGCCATGTTGCTTTGCAAACTCCGGTTGGAAAGGCTGGAAAACGTCGCCCGCCTCCCCCCCCCGCACCCCATTATCCCGGCCACCCCACTTGTAATAGTGCCCTCTCCCCCAACCCCCACCTCACGAAGGTTACTTACAGTTTGGCTTTCCAGGTTCCTCGGTGCGGAGATTTGGGCGGGGTAGGAAGGGGGGGAGGAGGTGTGTGTAGGGGGGGATGTCGGGGCACCCCTAAAGGAGAGGTCAGAGTCCCCCGTGCCTCTCTCCGGCGGCTCCCCGTTCCTCGGTTTTCCCCCAGCTCGGCACCACGGTCCCCAGTTTCTGCCCTTGTGGGCCGCAGCCGGACACTCCCGCCGCGGCTCTCACCCCTCCAAGTTTCCCCTCGGGATCCAAAGCCCTAGGGGTCGAGATACAGACCTTTCCGGCACCCGAAACCTCCGTTTCGGGAAGCCTGGATCCTCTTTGGGGTTTTCACGCCAAAACGGCTTTTCTAGGATATTTCCTCGATTTTTAATTATTTTTTGAAACCGTCTCCCCATGCTCCGAGTCCTGCCGCCGAGGCTGCGGCTCTTCCTCCTCTCCTCCCTCCCCCTCTCTTCCCCACCTCTCCCCACCCACCCCCCCAATAGCGGCGTCTGGGTCGCAGGGACCCCCCCGGACATTTTTTCCAATTGTCGGGAATGATAGAGCAGGGTCTGGGGGTCCGAATGAGACCAAGAAGAAGACCCCCGGAGCTTCCAGAATATTTTTATTGATTTTTTGAAAAGATGACGAAATCCAAAAAAGAGAGTGTGAGTGAGTTAGAGTGAGCAAAGAAGTCAGTAGCCAAAGGGAGCGTCGCCGACCCGGGCGGCTACTGCGCATTTGTTTGTCTCCCGGGTTCGGATCTTCCATTCACCTCCTTTTTTACGTTCCTGGGGAACACCCCAGGGCGGATGGACTCTTTAGATTTTCTCCGTTTTCCTCGTTTTTATTCTTATCATATATTCTACTCCCCTCCCCCTCCCCACTCAAAAATTAAATATTTTTACATGTTTCCATAGATTATGCCTTTTCTTTCTTTCTTTTTTTTCTTTTTTTTTTTTTTTTTTTTGTCTTTTCCTGGTACTATTCCCTTCACCCCCCTCAACCCTTTCCCCGCTCCCATTGTAGGTCTGCGAGGAACAGAAGTGTGAAGAGGAGGTCTTCCCTTTGGCCATGAATTACCTGGACCGCTTCTTGGCTGGGGTCCCAACTCCTAAGACCCATCTGCAGCTCCTGGGGGCTGTGTGCATGTTCCTGGCCTCCAAGCTCAAAGAGACTATCCCTCTGACGGCAGAGAAGTTGTGCATTTATACTGACAACTCCATCAAGCCTCAGGAGCTGCTGGTAATGACCCTCTCCTTTCTTCCCCCCTTGTTCTTCGTCCTTCCATCTTTGCTCTCTCCAGGCCTGATAAGCTTCTACCCACTGCTCCCCAAACAAATGCTTTGGATCCCAGATTACCACACGGCTGGAATTTTCACATTTTAGGAGACAACGCTTTTAATATGAATTTTTTTTTGTTCCTACTGTGTTCCAGGCACTGTGCTAATAAGCGCTACGGTTACAACCATGAATAAGATCCCCTGAGACATTTGTGTTGGTGAAATTCATTTGCAGTTGTGTGCCCATGCGTGTGTGTGAGCATGTGCGCGCGCACGTAGGGGAGACTTGGGACATAGTGATAACCTTTTAATTAAATTCCAAATTTTCAACCACAGAATTCTGAGAAATAGTTCGACTTCTTACATGGTAGGAATGTCTTCACATGATAGTGTTTTGTGATGTGTCGCCTAAGAATCCAGAGTTCAAAGGTCCTATGAAGTCTCAAGATACCAAAAGATACCTGTACATAGTAGCTGTTCACTAAATATCATCACATTGACTTTTGACCCAAGTCCAAATTTGGTGTTTTATTGGAGGAATCTGAGGCCTGGGTTCCTAGCTCCAGTGGGGCGGTGACCTCTGTCCCATGACAGGGGTCTTCTCTTGACTCTGGTTTTCTGCCAGCAAACCCCTCCTCTTCCACCCCAGTCTTTTTCCCTGCGGCTTCACACCAGGCATCCATGTTGCAGCAGTGTGGAACGGTAGGGTGGCTCCCAGGCCCACCTTCTTTGGTCTGTACACCTTTCTCTGCACTGTTCGCAAAAGGGGGCACCCCTCTGACCGCCCCTCCCCCTCTTCACTGGCGAGGCCTGCACAAAGTCCACAGGGCTCGGACAGGCTGGTAGAACTGAGCTCTTTGTGAGAGGCCTCCCTTTCTGGGGCTGTGCTGCCATCTAGTGTCAGACATGTGCAAAGACGGGGGAGGAATTGCGGGGAATGTCGAGAGAGGGGGCATGAATGACTTCACCTTTGAACCGCTGCCAGATTTCAGCTGCTTCTGGTTTGGTCTGGGAGGCCCAGAAAGGTGCTTTCTTCTGGGAGATCTGCTTCCTTTAATAATAGTACAAGAAGAGTGTTTTAGATTCACATTCCCCTGTGAGAAGAAAGGGCTGGAATGTCAAGCCATCTTAGAAGACATGGGCTGTTTAGTAATTTTGTCTTCTTTTCCTCCCCCCGCCCCCACACCCCAACCCTCTGTAAAAAGCCAAGGCAGACTTAAAAGCATGTAAAGAAATTGTTAGAATTCGTTACTAGTTTGTTTTTCTCATGGGAGACCAGGAAAATGAATCTTCCATTTGGTTTGTTTATTTCAACATGATGGTGGACAATGGTGTTCTTCAGGACACCCCAGTTTTTTCCAGGACCAGCCAAGCTAATGAATATTGCTTCACAAAACACTGCCTGTGTTTTCCATTCCCTATCTTTTTATCCCAGAAGCTGGGATCCGGAGAAGTCCTAGTTTACACTGGAGAAAGCTGGGGTCCAGCAAGGGGAAGGGAGTCGCCCCAGACCACACAGCCTCTTCGTGCTTCAGGAGGGGGCTGGGACTCTGGTTCCTGGCTTAGCAAATGGAAGAGAGCCTGGGGGGTTTTAGGGCAAACGAGGGAGCAGGGTGGTCTCCGCCTCTCTTTCTTCTGAAGGCAATTAATTGGATAGGCCCGTTTTCCCTCTGACGGCACATACTTTTAGGGTTTCTTTTTGGCTTGTTTTACTTTCAGCACAAGTCCCCAAACGTATCCCGATAAGGGAGAGAAGAAGTTTTTCACGAGGTGGGCTGCCCGTGAGAGTCGGGGTTGCATTGTCCCCCCTTGGCATTGAACGGAGGGATTCCGTGGCCTGTGCATAAGCACTTTCACTGTGCCCCAATCACCTCCTGCTGCATCGTGGGGTTACTAATGCCCGTCCAGTGGGTCCTTCAGTCATGATGACAAAGGCCTATGAAACATTTTAGGTGAAAGGGCACTCTGTGGCTGGGTGTCTTTTCCCCAAGACTTACGCATTATGCGTGGAGGGGAAAGTTTTGAAGCAGAGAAGAAGGGCACTTTTTGGCACCAGCTACAAGTCAGCCGATGGGTTGCCCAGGAGTTGGGCCCAGGAACCTTAGTTTGACCTTTATCTGTGTACATCATTTTCCTGTGAGGATTTAAAAAACTATTAGTCCAGCGATAGAGACATAGACAACAAATGACTATCTAAGGGCCACAATGACCTTAGCAGTATCTTTTCGCAGGTTCAGCTTTCTGGGTGGGCAAGCATCAGCACTGCCTGCGAGTCAAGGTTGGCGGGAGTGGGGAAGCCAAGAGGATAAAAAATAGGAGAAAACAGTCTTAGCAATAGATACCTGGGTTCTCCCTATTGCCGGTCCCGCCTCCCATTGGAAGCCTAAGAAGAAAGGTCAACAACTACCAAGCTTTGGGGGACACTTGACAAATGGGCCCACCTCCCCATCCAGCAGCGTCCTCACGAGCATCCTTAAAACCGATCTGGATCCCCACCCACGCCCACCCCTGTCCCAGACAGGACGCCAGGTCCACCTTTGGGTTTTATACTCTTTTCTTCCTCCTTCCCTTCCTCAGGAGTGGGAGCTGGTGGTGCTGGGCAAATTGAAGTGGAACCTGGCCGCCGTCACCCCTCACGACTTCATCGAGCACATCCTTCGTAAGCTGCCCCAGCCGAGCGAGAAGTTGTCTCTGATCCGCAAGCATGCGCAGACCTTCATTGCTCTGTGTGCCACTGGTAGGAGCAGGCTGGAGCTGGAGGGGGCCTTGGGAGGGGCAGACACATGCTGAAGAGCCCCTTGTGGGGGGTGGTCAAGGGGGTAGGGAGGTAGGGAGGATGGGGTTACTCCCTGGTATGGGCCTGAGGGGCTTAGGAGACGGGCTGTGTTTTCCCGACTATCTGAGCTGGTATATTCTTTTTTTCTTTGCTAAACTCATAAATGGTTTACGACGACAGGTGTGGTAAGGGGAAAAAAAATACGGCCTGTAAAAATAATTCTTTATGATGCCTAAAGTGCTCTTTGAAGGTTATATATACTGGTCTCTGGTTGTGTTTAAATCTTTAATCTTTTGAGGAAAAGGATGGCTTGGAGATAAGCCCAAGAGGAAATTTGGGGGCTGGGGGCAAATACAGGTTAAAGGAACACTGTCAAGATAAATACGCAGCTTGCCCTGATAAGGGAGGCCAAAGGAGTTCTTTTTACTGTAGGACACATATGTGTAGCTGTTCCCTCTGCTGGCCGGGGGAGTAAACCCGGCTGGCTCTCAGCAGGGACTCAGGTTCTCAGCACTAGGGTCTGACGCCCTCGCTTTAAGTGCTGGTGTTTTGATTTTGGTTGCAAGCTCTAATGTAGCAATCACGACTGGCTTTTTCATATTAAAAGCTTTCCACCCACCCTGTTGATCCCACAGTTGATACATAGTTCTTACTGGCCCATTTGCTTTGCACTTCCCCTAATAAACTAAAGGCAGTGGTTTGACACTGTCTCGTGAAACTGAACCTTGGCCAGTTTCTACCATTGTTTTCCTGGTAGTGACCATAAGAGAGATCGTGGAACTTGATCTTCCAGGGGAGAGACACTATAGGTGAAGAACTGACCGTCTGGGCAGATCTTCGGTTTCGGGGTGGGAGGTTGGTGGGCGAGTGGGGAGGGCTGGGGTGCAGAGAGATCAGCCCCAGTTTGCCAAGAGTTGTTGAATTTTATAGCTGGGACTCGCGGGGGAGTTAGGGAGTTAACTTCTTTCAATACCTTGTTACATGGTATTCATGAGTTAGTACAGACAGATCACACAGTAGGCCAAAGTGTGCATGCTGTGTTCTCAGTCAAAAGGTCAGGCTTTGCTACTTCTCACTGGATGACCTTGGACAGGCCGCTTCACCTCTCTGAACCTCAGCTTCCATCTGCAAAACACATCTGTGGGTACGTGATCTGTACAGGCTTTTCAGGGTATTTAGGAGAAGGAAAATCAGAAGGAGACGCGGTGCAAGGCGGTGCTTTGTGAGCCCAGGAATGTGTAGACAATGTGTGGTGGCACTCCTTGTGAAAGCACCCCCATCTCCTACTCGGAACTTCATCCAGGTCCAGCAGGATCCCTTGCTCTGCCTTCGTGGGCTGGAGTGTCCCCAGGTACCCACAGTGGAAGCCCGAGCATGGGTTTTTTCCACAGTCTTTCCCTTCCTGATCCAGACCCGTTCCTAGGTTCCATGGCGTGTGCGTGTGCCCTGTGCCCCTTTGTGGGAGAGTGAGCTGCCCTTCCCGCAGCCCTGACAGGCCATTCTTTGGAGCCCCCCTGGACAGTAGCCATTCTTCTGCTTCCTCTCTTCTGCTGTCTGGCCTGGGGCCCTAGAGGTCAGTCCCTCATTGACTTGTCATTTTGTCTCCCAGGCCCTTCCTCTCCATTGTCATGATTCACTGTGGGGGAGGAGTCAACCCGTCCTTTTTTCTCTGGCCCTAGGACAGCTGACCCCTTGACCTTAAGCTCCCCCATTGCCCAGCTGTTAGCCAGAGTTCTGCTTTGACCTTGTCTCTTGACTGACAGATCTTTTGGGGTCTGTCCACCCATCCCTCCATTCTCATCTCTGTTCGGGGTAAAGATGATGGGTAGAATTATCCAGGCATGGGTAGATCTCCAGATTCTGTAAAGGCTCATTCTCTAAAATTGGGGATCCTGCCCCCCCACTTCTGGCCTCTTGCCTAGATCCTTGGGGTGGCTGCCAACTTTTTTGCCAGAGTAAGGAGCCTGGAACTCAGGTCCTGAGGACAGAGGTCTGAGGGGTGGCAGGGAAAGACACAATGACTGCCTTTTGGGAGACTTGAGCTAACCTTGGACAGGAAGTGAGGAAGGATAGAAGGAATAACTCCAACCGAATGAAAACCACAGGACTTAGGTACTAAGTTACTAAGTTTTAGGTGTGGACTGGTCAGACAGAGGGGCGTTCTCAGAAGTTTCCTGAGTCTGGGAAGGATGGGTCTGTCTCACAAGGCTTTTCTTCCTTGACTGTGCTTTTGTCTGTATGAAGGACTGGGTTACATGGCAACCTCACAGTGTGGAGTTTTATAGCAGTTGGCTCAACAGTATAAAAGCCAAGGGCTGCTTTTCTTGGAGGAAACATCTCCCACTTAGAGGAGATACTGCATTTGGGGGCCGGGGGTGACAAATGGTTGACTGCCTAAGACCGTCTGGCAAGTAGTGGGTGCAAGTAACGGAGAACCAAAGGTAGGTGTGACACCGAGACCATCCTGTCTGCTCCAGGTGCCTCACAGCCCAAAGCCAAAGAGGCACCTGGAGCCGGGGTTTGCAGGCCTACAAGGCCTACATTGGGTTCTGAGGAGATGATGGCCAGCCCTGAGGCTGTGTGGCTAGTTGATGGGAAAGCTGGTTGTGAAAGAGCTGGCAGTTCCCTAGTCTGTGTGGGGAGTGCATGTGTGTATGTGAAAGGGGAAGAGAGAGAGGGCAGGAGAGCAGAGAGGGGCTGTGAGAAGGGGAGTGAAGCTGCAGTTTTCCTCACAGGCTGGAGGGTAAGATGGTGGCCAGGCCGAGAGGCGCCCTCCTGCCCCCTCCCTCCTCAGCTCAGAATGGCTTCTGGTAGGACAGAGTGCCTCCAGCTGCCCAGTGTCCCTCTCAGGGCCAGTCATGGTCCACAGGGGCACTGGGGTGAGAAACAGACCTTCCTAACTGCCAGCCCCTGGCATCCATCCCCTTTCCTGAAGCTTTTGATCCTGGGGAGGCAGAACTGAGCCTTAGTGTCCCCCTGGTTGTAGCTTTGATGGTAGAGTCCCCCAGGTCTGCAGATGAGGAAAGAAGGACCAGAGAAGATGACTCAGGATTGCACTCTGGCACTGGAAGATTCTTGATGCATGATATCATGCTCAACAGATGATTCCAGTTAGTCTAGAAAGCCGATGACCTTGAGTTTGAACTTGGTGTGGAGGTGGGGTGGAGGTGCTTAACCTCCCGACCCGGGGCACCCCACATGTCTCTCTTTGTGCCTCGGGCAGCACCTCAAGGTGCTGGTCTAAGCTCTTTGCTCCATGCACGTGAGGAGTCCCGCCCAAGACTCCTGACGCCAAGACCCGAGCCCTAGTGATGATGATACCCCTTGGGTTTCCAGTCTTCCTGGCTTTCCCTAAAGAAGATTCATGACCTTCCATCCTGAGGTATAATCATAGCCAGGACCTGGAGAGGGTAGGTGATGCAGCCCCTTATCCAAAAAGGGAGGTGTGCCCTAGTGGTGGCCAAGTGGGGAGACTTTAGACCACCTTCCCATCTCGGAGCCCCTGCACCCTCTCTGCTGCTGACAGGGCATGGAAATGAGATGAAGTGGCTGTTCTTCGGCAAGTGCACCCCATGGGGCAGGCAGTGGGACAGGGTTCTCTCAGTTCCCATCTGGCCGTAAAATGAATGAGGCTGCTTGCTGTTCTCCAGCCGTTTCCCTCCCTCCCTCCTCCCACCAAGGTGCCACATTGGCATCCCCTTGGCGAGGCATCCCGGGCATGGTGGGTGAGGTGTGTGCCACCCACATCATGGCTGGGCCAAGGAGCACCCGGGATCCTGGCCTTTTTTAACTTCCACCTTGGTGCAGGTCAGAGGTGGGGGAGAGATGGGGGAGATGGGAGACTAGGTCTTCCCTGGTTCTCGTCAGCCTCAGAGCAGATCTCTCTCGCCCCCTAGTGGCGATTCAAAGCACAGAGGTCACTCTTGGACTTCAAGGTCTCCATTCCTATAGCCAAAACAATCCACAATCCGCGCTGAACTTACAGACAGGGCCATCTAATCTGTGATTTCAACCCAGTTTAGCTCAGAGCTCTTTCTTCAGTGAAATCTTACCAGGGCGTGCAGACACCAAGTCTGACTATGAAGCCCTCGCTGCTCTGTTCCAGATTACAGAGCCCAATGGGGCCCTGGGAGTGCCTATGGCGGTCTTGGGAAGTTAAGTGGGCTATGCAGGTCACATAGCTTGCTGGTGCCACGGCTAGGATCTATCTCTGACCAGGGCTCGCTTTGGGGAGCTTTTCTGGCACTGCTGATAGGAAAATATCCCAGTTTTCCTTCGTGGGATGTGGGAGGTGGCCTTAAGGAGCTATTCACATTCTGTTAAGGTATGAAGAGCACTGGGTTCACAGCCCAAAAGCCTCACCTTAACCCCAGGCCCAGGGTCAGGCATTAGACGGGTCAAGAATTCATAGATTCAGGGAGCCTGGGTGGCTCGTTTGGTGAACACCTGACTTCTGATCGTGGCTCTGGTCATGATCGCAAGGTTGTGAGATCGGAGCCCTGTGTCAGGCTCCGTGCTGGGCATGGTGTCTGCTTAACATTCTCTCTCTCCCTCTGTCTCTGCCCCCTCCAGTCACCACCCCCTCCCCAGGCACTTGTACTCACACACACACTCTCTCTCTCTTCCCCCCCCAAAAGAAAAAGAATTCATTTATTTCACCTGTAAAATGAAGTGTTTCGAAACTGATGAGTTTTACGTTGGTTTTTATTAATACTTCACCACTACTACTTGGATGAATAAGCAACCAACAGAGCTGGGATTCCCCTAAGGTGTGCCCCTTGCCTCCCCCACCTCCCCAGGAGGGAGGAGGTCGTGTCAGAGGCTTCTAGTATGTGGGCATTGTTCCTTTGCTCTGGGCAAACCACACCTGAGGGAATATGGGGACACTGGGAAGGGAGTGGCCTACTTCTGTCTTCCATTTATTGTATAGGGGCCGTCGGTTTGTCCCACTTATGACAAACCAGCACGAGGCTTCGGGGACTCGATGAGGTCACTTCTGGGATGGAACACAAGTGATAGTGAAAGATGCTCTAGGCAGCACAGAGCCCTCATTCTTCCCGGCGGTCTCGGCACGGTGGGGCTGCTGTCAGCATCTGCCTGGAGCCCCGGGATACAGGGCCCTTCCTCCTCAGGCCTGCTGATGCTGAACCGCATCTCCCAGCGGTCAGGATTACCCCTCACAGTCCCATAGAAGGTTCCCGTGGTCAGAATAGTGGTGGTAGGACACTGTTTGCTTACCAGGGGCCGGGCACTGTGTTTTTGCATGGATTATTTTAGTCCCATCCTCAGAACAACCCTACGAGGTGGGTCCAGTTATTCTCCTGATATGCTGGTGAGAAGATGGAGGCTCAGAGAGGTCAAGTATCTTGCCCATCTTCACATAGCGGGCTGGTGGTAGGACATCGGCCTCCCCATACTCCACCTTCCAGCTCTCGGAGCTGCTTGGCCCAAATTCTTCCCATGTCCTCAGATAGTCTTCGTAAGTATCTTCTGTTCCCCTAAGCACCCCCTTTCTTTTGAGAAGTTTCTTTACTAGCTACCCATGCGGTATGCACCTCGCCATCTAGAATGCCCCGTATGCTGTGTTCTGTTACTACGTTTTTACATCTGGGGTGGGGGGTGGGGATTAACCCTTGCTTCCGGGAACGGGGAGGAGCACTTGTGATGACTCTGTAGGAATGGATCACTGGTCAGTTAATTGCCTCGTACTCAGCTGCGGAGGAAGGAAGGTCTCAGAAGTCACCTCTTACCATTCCGGGTGGGCAATGGAGGGTAGAAGTAGACCCTCACCCCTGGATATGCTTTTTGCACCAAGATATAGCTTGTTGGTATTTTTGACCAAGAGAGGTAAGAGATTTCTGAGAGATTATTAGTTGGTATTTTATTTTTGCTGAAATAAAATAGTATTAGGAGGAAGTTTTACACAATTACTTCTGTTTCTTCCATACGTTTACATACATTTTCTGTGACTCCTACTTTTGTTACCTGCAGGTGCACATGTGTATTTTTATTCATATATTTCTGGAAGGTTGTCATCTTGGTCATAGCTTGCGTGCATGATGTTTGAACTTTCTGCCCACTCCCCCTGGCCAAGTGGATAAGTTTGAACCCTCTTCAGTCCAGTTTCGTAGCCAAAATTTAAAGTTTCCAGGACTGGCTGAGTGGGTTGGGTGAAACTTTCCACGGGTGAGTACAGAAGTGAGGTAACTAGAGCTAGTACAAGGACACGACCCTTCAGATATTTTATTCGGGTGTTTTCCTCTCTGCTGTTTCCCCTACCGACAGAGGGGGGTGTCCCTGAGTAGGGTCCTGGGGCAGCCCCTGAGGCCATGTGGAACTAGCAGTGCTCTCTGGAGAGAAATGCCTTGTGACTTCCCCAGCCAGTGGAAGCCATGTTCTGTTCTATTTTATAACACAACTCAGGATATACATAAATGGACATCAAACTGCTACAAAAGTTTCTCAAGACAGTATTTACTCTTACTACATGATTACTTCCTGATACTTTCTATCCTGTTCTGTTCGGTTAAACAGCAACAAAAACAGCCCACAAATGGGTTTCATGACCCAACTATGAGTTGCAGCTGGAAGTTAGAAAAACACAGATCCAACCCCATCCTCTATTAGACAAATGGAATGCCAGGGGCTGGAGGAGGCAATGACTCACCCAAGGTCCCACAGTCTGGACTCGGCTTGTAGTGCTAATGTCCCCTCCTTTGGACCTACCCAGAGAAGAGCCTAGCAGCTGCTCACGAAGCTTGAGAAAGTCCCTGGTTTGCTCCCACTGCGTGGGGCAGAGGGGCAGCGCAGTGGCTGCCCGGCTCCTGTAGCTCTTCTCTGGCAGGGGGAGCACTACCCAGCCTGAACTGCCCAGAGGCAGCTAGCTTCTCGTACACAGTGCTCCCCATTTCTGGAAGGCAGAGGACAGTAATCCCAGGAGGAGGCCCCTCAGCGTTTTCCTAAGCAAAACACGAAGTGGGGAGAGAAGGGCGGGGGGAGATCCAGTCCTGGCAACTTTAGCACCTGCCGCACCCAAGGACCACCCGGATATACCCCCTGGCTTCCAGAAGTTAATTAGTTTGCTAAAATTAGGAGTCAATTTTGCGTGCAGTTGGACAACAAAAGATAGGCATGTGTGAGGTGTGCTTCCTGGTCGGAGGCCTGGGACAGAGGAAAGGGAGGGCCAGGGATATCCTCCTGTCGTTCCCTGCCAGATGCTCCCACCCAGGGCCTTCGTGGGCCCAAGGCCATGGGCTGGCTGCCTCGTCTGCACTGTGAATGTCACAGGGGGAAGCTAACAAGGTTATTGGGCAGAGAAACACTCCTGTGAGCCCATGTGGAGGAGACCTACAGCAGAGCAGGAGGCAGGGAGGCCGCCTTTGGCACCGACCATGGGGATAGAGAAGGCACGGGAGGAGTTAGTGGACAGCAGGCGTGGGGCAGAACGCTGTGATACGCATCCCTCAAGAGGCAGAGATGGGGAGTGGGCTAAGGAAAGAAAGCCAAGGAGAGAGACAGACGGACAGACGGCAGGGCTCGCTCTGTTCGTGGGATTCGGCCAAGATGGGAGGTGTGGGCACGGTTCAGTGGATCAGCAGAGTCACTGAGAGCACCACCAACTTGATGCTGGACAATGGGGTCACCATTAAAGCGCTTTAATGGAATATGTCGTTTAACAGGGCATGGCACAGGAAGAAGGGGAAATACTAGGGTACACTCCTTTTATAGTTCAGCCTAGTAGTAATGCTGTAATTGGAAGTGTGACCCATGTCCCCCTTCTGTGTCTCCCTCCTGCCTGCCCCCTTGCACAGCTAGAGGCAGTGAACTCTGGGGTAATGCTAGAAGCAGAGGTAGCACACTGGAGGATTTGCTCCACTCCAGGACTGACCAGAGACTGTGACAGGGTAGTGTCCTTCCCATATGAGCACAAGGCCCAGGTAAGCGCCCTTCCAGCCCTCAGAAGTCCGCCCCTTCTCCTCCCCCACGTGAGGGTAATTGTGTGCAGTTTATGTGGTGCATTCGTGGGTTATGGACGGGACTGTGCCCGTGGGTCATTAGCAGCTCTTAGAAGCAGTCACAGCACTCAGGTGGGGTGTCGTCCTCTCCTCCTGGTAACTGGGAAGTAGGTGATCTTGGTCACCTGGCTCCTTTGCAGGAGCGCTCAGAGGAACGGGAGGTGTTTGTCTCCCAAGCTGAGCCAAGCATAGGAAAATCCCCTCTGTTTGCTTTTGGAGAAATGAAAATGGATGAGGGTTTGAGCTCCTTAAATTTATTCTCATTTTGTACTTCTCTTTAGTGAACTACTGTTTTTTTTTTTCCAGCCAGAAAATGGGAACTTTGGGCCCAAGAGCCATAAAATCTAAACCAAGTCACCCATCTGATTAGGGTGCAGTGGTGCATACTGGGTACCTGCTTTCTCTCCTCGTGTTCTAAGGGCCCTTGGCATTGGGGCTAGAAGTTGGGGATTGTGTGAAACTTGGCCCCCATCCCCTCCATTACTGCCTCTCTCACTTCCTTTTTTTTTTCATTTGTTTAAATAAAGTCATCTTTTGTTTTGGGCCGTATTAGTCCTTGCTGACTGTCCACAAAATAATAGGGCAAGGTAACATCAGGATTATTGGTCTTCATAAAATTGTACTCGCTTGTATACTTTTCCTGCCTTCCACCATCTAGATCCTTTGGTCTGTCTCACTTATATGGCACCTGAGAGATTCATCTCCGACCTCCCTGCTCTGCTCCTGCCATGACCCTCAGAGGGGAATGCATCTCACTCACCTTCCTGCCCCTTGTCCCAGAGAGGGTTGTGGGGACCTGAGTCCCCTCTCTGATAATTCCCTGTGTGTACTCAGATAAGCTCTCCAGCTTCTCTGCCTCCATTTCCCATTTGGTTCGGGACCTTCCAGAGTGATGGCAAATAAATAAAGGGTATCTTGGGAAGGAAGACTCAGGAGAGGACGTGTCTGTTCGTGAGGGATCACCTGTGCAGCTGACCTCTCACCATCCTCTTTCTGAGTATCTTCAGGTTGGGGACCCCCAGATCCAAATTATTCCTGGGCCTTGACCCTCTGCCTCTTGTTCTCACAGACTTTAAGTTCGCCATGTACCCGCCATCGATGATCGCAACTGGAAGTGTGGGAGCTGCCATCTGCGGGCTCCAGCAGGATGAGGACGTGAGCTCGCTCACTGGCGATGCCCTGGTGGATCTGCTGGCCAAGATCACCAACACGGATGTGGTAGGTGGACGCCATCTTCTTGGTTAAAACCAGATATCTCTTTTCTCAGCTCAGGGAAAGAGACACTTGGCTTGATGACGGTGTGTTGGAGGTACTTTTTAAATTTTTTTATTTTTGATGGTGGTTTCTGTTTTCCAAGATCCAGCCTCCCAGTACAAAATTCCATAGACGAGACTTCCTCCTAAGGTTTTGAAAGCCAGTGTGCCATAAAATAGAGAAAAGAACCTAGCAAACAGATACGAGGTGGGAGGAGGGCTGTTTACTAATTTTCCTCCGTGGGCTTCCCCGTGGGTCTGAAGTGTTGCTTCATTTCCATTTATGTACATGTCCTCAGACTGCCTCTCCCCCACATTGTCAGGCTCGGGCTCTGCTTACACCCACTCAGGCAGAGACCCAGTGGAGAGAGGGCTGGAGCCGGCTCTGCTTCACTGGGGGGTGGGTGGTATAGGGATCCAAGAGGTGCCCCACCTCCAGCAGGGTGTCTGGCCTTGACACACCTCTCAACCCCACCCGCCTCTCACTTCCCTTTTGTTTAATGTGGTAATAGATTAAGAAGTACTTCTAAGATAATAAAGAGCCATAGTAATTCAAGGAACTATTATTAGCTATAGATTTTTCCATTCTTGTGCCGGTGGACTGCCCAGAGACTCTAACTCTGCTTGCCAGAATTTGCAGCTCCTTAGAAGAAAGGTCTTGAGAGACCAAGGTCAAGCGAGGCTCTGATTCAGCTGGTAGGAAACGGCAGTCCTTAGAAGGTCCAAGCCAGGGTGGCTCTGAGAGGTCAGAGAGGCCGCTCCTGTGTCCTCCAGCCGAGGCTTTCCATGGGAGGTGCGGAGAGGGCTGGGTAACTGGCTGGGGGAGCGGGGAGGTCAGCCGTAGAGCCCGGGCTAGAATCTGGAAGCTCCCACTCCCCCCACCAACCTGGGAACGTTGCACAGTTGCACACCAACCGTAGCTCCTGAATCTTTTTGTTTGAGAAAAGCCTCTGCTTTGAAGGCAACCGGAGAAGCCTATCAGCCGGGAGGCCCTGGGGTGTCACCATGGAGAGGCTCAAGATGCAGGCGAGCTTCACAGTCCCCCCTCTGGATGCTCCAGGGAGATTCAGAATGCCTTGCTGTGGGACTAGATTGAGTTAAGAGATAACGTGGCTTACAGGCCTGTGGCTGATGCCACATGGGGATGCTGATGGGAAGGCTGACAACCCCGAGGGCCTAGGGCTGCAGCTTGCTGGGTTTCTCTCCTCCCTATCTGTATTCTGCTTTGGGCTTTATTACCACCTCAAGGAGGTGGTGCAGGGAGGTGGTGAAGGGCCTCATGGAAACCCAGGTTCCTATTCTGAAGCAGGTCTTAGATACGCCTTTAAAATTCTAGGTCCCAAACAGAGGCTTTCCACAGAGGCCTGTGCCACCGTGTACTACATGGTTCCCAAAACACAGCTCGAGAAGACCCCTTCCAGTGTGCTTTGCGTGAAGAGTGCTTTCCTAACCCTCCAGAGGCAAATCTGGGACAGAACGTAACGTTTATAGAAATGATGAGCTTCTTTCCTTTCCTGACTATCTCCTACTAAGGCTGCCTAACGAAAAGGACTCCCAACAGCAACCAGTTTAAGACAGGCTCTTCCCCGATCCCCAGAGACAAAAATGTCAGTGACAGCAGTTTGACCCCCCAAGCACTGTAACCTCTTTCCGATATTTATGGACTTTGCCCTGGTTGGCTGGTGGCCCCACAGGCCCTGGCTTTCTCCCACATATTCCTTTCTCACCCCTCATTGGCTTCAGATGGACAGAGGTCACTCCAGAGGTGCCACTGAGTCTCTCCGGCCGCTTTTCAAGACTTCAAACCAATTTCTCATCTTATACTGGAGAAACCGCTTGCCCCTTTGAGATACTGTGTAGCTGGTGTATCCATGTCAGTCAGCCGTTAGACTGGGTTAAATGAGTACAGAAGCCGCTAGAGGTCCCCTGCATTCCAGCTGCGGAACTGGAGATGCATGGGGCCCTCATTCTTACCCGTGGGCCTCCGGGTCAGCATTTTAGTATTAACAACCAAGCATGAGCAAAGGAGAACTTTTTCAGACAACAGTCTCAGACCTCTGTGAGTTCTAAGCTCACCTGTGGGCCCCAGAGGCTTGCTCACTCTCCCCTAGCAATGTTTTTAGTAAAAAGGCTTGAGTCATCTCGGGTGAGGCTGGCCACCTGTGCCGGACTTCCAGGAGCTGTAGGTCTCCTCCTATCCATCAGGCCGTGTTCTCTGAAGTGCTGAGGCTCAAGAGTGAAGGAAAAGAAAAGGACTGGAATTCAGAAAGCATCTGGGGGGGGGGCAAGTGTTGCTTCCTGAGCCCATTTACCATTTCATGAGTCAAGAAGCGCTGTGTTGCAACCACTTCCTCTCCATTCATTTCTGGAGGGATTTATTAAAGGTTCACTTGTTGCAGACCTGCACGATGAGCAAGGCACGGAGGCAGAAATTCGGACGGATGGGTGGGTCGTGTATGGAAAATGGGCAGGGAACTGGGTGACTGTAAGACAAATTACAAGTAAAGCATGCAAAACCCTAGCAAATTAAGCTCATCAGCAAATGAATGCAGAGGTGTTAAGAAGTATAAATGGAGGAGGAAAGCAGACCCAGAGGAAGGAGCTCACTAGGCCTAATGTGAAATGCAGGCTTCCTGGCAGAGGGCACTTGGCAAATAGGAATGTCCTTGAAATGGAGAAACCAAAAACGTGGTATGTATGTGCAGTGGGATATGAGTCCGCCTTAAAGAGGAAGGGAAATCCGGACACACGCTGCAACATGGATGAGCCTTGGAAACACGTTCAGTGAAAGAAGCCAGATCCCAAAAGACACACAAATGGGGCCACTTACTGGAGATACTTCACATAGTGGAATTCATGGAGACAGAAAGTTAAATCGGGGTTCCTAGGGTCCAGGAGTGGGAGGAAAAGGGAGTTCTTTAATGGGTATGGAGTTTTGCTTCAGGAGGATGAGAAAGTTCTGGAAATGGATGGTGGAGATGGTTATATGACAAAGGGAATATACTGAAGGCCACCGTACACCTGAGAACGGTTACGAGGGTAAATGTCACGTTTGGTTTATTTTGCCACAGTTGGAACATGGACATGCACACGCATACTGCTGTCAGACCCACAGTCTGAAATGCCCACAGGTTGGTGTCGAGCTCTCCCATGGAAAAGTCAGGTGCACAGGGCCACATTCTGCCACATTGGCTGCAGCGGAATAGGACAGATGTGAACCAGGACCTGGAGTCCTGATGGTTCTGTGCCTGCCCCGGGCACCTTGTAATTTGTGATCTCCTCGAGCGGACGGTGTTCTCTGCCCACGTGTTGTCAGGGGCGGACTGGGGAAAGCGGATCCCCTTGATTTCCTTTGAGATGGGCAGACAAGTGTCTCTAGCTCGCTGGCCAGCGGCAGATAGCTTTGATAGGAGGGACCCATGTGGCTCTGAGAAAGTCGGTCTTTGTTGCTCCCTCTGGTTGCCAAAATAAACCGGAACGCTTCATTCCAAAGAGAAAGCTGAGTGAGAAGCCTGACAGTTTAACGGGGAATAAAAGTCTCAGAGGGTGGTATATTTTAAGTACTTTTTCCTTCCAGTCATAAGTGTTGCTAAAAACAGACGCCAGCCAGCGAGGCGGTGCTGGCTTTGGGGAAACTTCTACCGGGGCTTCCGTTGCCAAGGGTGAGTTTGAGAGGAGGGATCGAGCGTCCTGGTTCCCCGGTGAACCTTTCCCGGCTTTGCTGGGCAGAGTCGGGGTTCCTCTTCCGTCCCTCGGCACTCGGCTCGTGCTTTGTGCCAGCGTTTATCTCACCATTCGCTTGTCTATAGAGCCTCTGGAACAGGACCCAACTTTTACTGCGCTCTTTATCCAGAGCCTCTGGCAGAGTCTCGGGAATGATGCTGAAGAGAGGGAGGGAAGCAGGAAGGAAGGAACGGAGGACACAAAGGCCAGGCAGATGGGCTTAGAGTGTGTTTCTAAGTCTTTGGTCTCTCCAGACCTTTGGAAAGCCCTATATTTCTTAGCCTTCATTACATGCCAGCGTCCCGAGCAAAACCCATCACCTTCACGTGCCACAATTTTACAAACCGTCTAATAAAAACGCAGAAGTCACACTCCTGGGCTGTGACGATGCTGTGAAGCTATTGGGAGATAATTCAACGGAAGCAGACGCTAGTCCCCTGGTCACCGTATTCATCCTTTTCTGTCCCGTTCTTAAATATCACCCACGGAAGATTCCAGGATGCCCCTCCCTTGGGCTCATCCTGGCACGTTAGGATCTTGGTTGTCAGTGAGCTGTTAAAAACCTGTTCGCTGTGCAGGAGAAGAAGTCTCGATTTTGACTGCTTGCTCTGGGCTGGGTCCCCCAGCCCCGTCTTTGTCCTCTTTGGAGAGAAGCACCGACCCCCTCCTGACACACCTTCCCTTACTATGGGCCCCTGTATGGCTGGGGCCCACGGGGCCTGTGGTCAAGAACCTTGGGAAGAGTGGCCGGAGGGGAGGCTGGGGGCGGGAGGAGGGGGATGGAATAGAACTGGAGGCTCAGGCTCCCCTTTCCTGCCTTATTTCTTCTGCGGGCTTCATTTGGTATGCAAGGAAATAAGCCAAACAGCCTGTGAAGAAAGGAAGAATGAGATAGTTTCCTAAGTTGTCTCTGCCTGAGCTGGCCGCGGGTCTGGGGCTCATTCAGCCCTTTGTCCCCCCGTTGAGTGCACTGCGTGTGTGGTGACAATGGCGTGGTGCAGTTACACTGAGGGCTAATGGTCGGAGTTCCGTCAGCCCATTCATGGAGGCCGAGGAGGGTGCAGGGCGCGGAGCCCAAGCCAGCGCGCAGAGGAAGTCGGAGGCCCGTGTAACGAGCTGGAGATCACAAACAGGGCTGTCAGGGCTCTGGGGCTGGGGGGCAGGGGCCAGGGAGGGAGCCTATCATCCTCAGAGTTGGAGGTCTGCCCGACCTCCAGCGCTGTGGAGTGCCACCTGTCCAGGCTGACAGACGAGCATTATGGCTTTCCTTTTAATCAGCTTAATTTGGGGCATCTTAACACAATGACGGGTGCTTTCGGAGGCTGCCGGAAAGCAGAGGTCCCAGAGCCACTGCACTTTGCATGCACGTAGCATCTTTTCACAGGAGGAGCTGTGGTCTCCCCCCCGCCCCCCACCCCCGACATCCCCCGCCCCCCCAGCCCCTTGGGCTACGTCTCCCTTTCTTGGAGAGTTTCTGGCCTGTAGGTCTTTCCTTAGAGCTGGGAAGAAGCAGAGGGTCTCAGGGGAAGGTGTTCTGAAGCTGGAGGCTTGCCCGTTTACAGCCAGGCTTAGCCTGTAACTCAGCGTAACCGGGGAACGAGTTCCGTAACCGGGCTTCAGTTCCGTTCTCTAGCTGCACAATGTGGGCGTGTGGCTGTGTGAGCTCCCAAAGCCCTTCGGACCCCCAAGTCCCCTGACCCTGTAATTGCCTCCGTGTGGCGTCTTGTGATTCTGCCCTTCGGAAATAACTATGATTCTGCTCTACTCCAGCTTTGCCTCCTTTTCTTTTTGGGCCTTGGAACTTGTCCCCCCTCTTTTATTTCCTTCTCTCAGCTTGACCTTCCAGCACGAGCAGCCCCGCTGGGTTTGAGGCAGGGTTCCTCCTCTCTTCAGGTCACCACTCCCCCCACCCCAGTCCCGTGCCTGGTCCTGCCCTGCTGTTCGGGAGAGTGGGAGCTCCTTGGGTGGGAATGGGGGCCTGTGAGGGGTGGGCACATCTGGCAGCAAGTAGTAACACCACCAACACATTTCCTTCTCCCTTCGCTTTCCATCAGCTCATAGAAAATTCTCATGCTCTTTGCAAGTCCAAGAATGGTTCATAATGGAGGGTATTAAAATACCGGGAGTGAGTTCTGTCTCAAGGAAGGTGGGGTGCTGATTTCTCTGTCACCACCATCACAGAGTAGACTGACATTGTTCTTACAAGACAAAACCCGTTAAAGTTTTTTTATCCAGTTAGGAATGTGCGATTTGCACTTGAAACTCAAACTGATGATAGCCGAGCTGTGAAGAAGGGGACCATGAAGGAGGGTTAGGCAGAGGCCCCAGAGAACCTTCCAGGAGTGAGGGACATGACTGGCCCCAGAGAGGCTTAGCTTCCTGCTCTGTCCCAGATGAATCTAGGAAAGAGCAGGGGCTGGGGTTCAGGGTCCCTCGTTTCTGGGGTGACTGCTGTAGTCCTTTATCTTTTCAAGTGGGAGGTGTCAGATCAAGAGCTGGCCATGATCAGTCACGGTTTAGATTGGAATGAAAACAGAGCTGAGGAAAGGTTTTTTTTTTTTTTTTTTTAAGATTTTATTTGTTTATTTGACAGAGAGAGATCACAAGTAGACAGAGAGGCAGGCAGAGAGAGAGAGAGAGAGGGAAGCAGGCTCCCTGCTGAGCAGAGAGCCCGATGCGGGACTCGATCCCAGGACCCCGAGATCATGACCTGAGCCGAAGGCAGTGGCTCAACCCACTGAGCCACCCAGGCGCCCCGAGGAAAGGGTTTTATATGAAAGCTTCCTTCATTTTATTCAGGAAAGCCGGTACCACGTGTTCTTGGCTGGAACTTACATAAATGTGACCCTTGAGGCATCTGATCTTCAGTCCCATGGCTCTGAAAGTCCCGTAGAGGTGACTGTCCAGTGTCCCAGCCTTCCCTGTAGGATTTTTTCCAGAACTATTCTTAGAGTTTTCAGGCTGCTGGAAGGGAAGGCTGAATGCCAGAAACAGAATCGTTGGCGACCCCAGAGCGAAGACTCTTAACACGTTTCCCAGATCAGGTTCTTTCGCTTTCTTGAGCTCTGGCTCATGTGAAGGACCGTCTTTCTCAGGGATGCTGATGTGGCTAACGCAATGATAATCATGGAGTCCTGAGTTGGTTGTATTTCTGGGGTGGAAGGTGGGCTGACCCCGATAACCTCCCCATGGCACCGAGATACAGCCTCTGAGGAAGGAAAGCTGGACAGGATCCGTGGGAGGCACCAGGGTTCTCGTTGCGGGGGAGGGTCTTCTACATGACCTTCACCTTCACTTTAGGGACTCTTCTCCAAATGGCTGTGCCATGGGAAACCCTCTCGTTAAAGAGGCCTTGAGGTTGACACTTGACTGGCATTTCTTTCAGAATTTCATTGTTCAGAGCTATTGTCTGTCCCTCACTTACACACACACCAACCCTCAATCAGGTGGGAATCCTGCCACCCTCTGTAAAACCCTTTATGCCACACCTGAAACTAATAGAACACATGTATTAATTATACATCGGGGGAGAAAAATAAACTCTTTTTGCCATATGCTTGGGATAGAATTTGTCATCCCTGTAGGCAGGCAGGCAGTTACCGTCCCTATGGTACGGAGGGGTTCTGACCCAACCCTCTGTCCTCCTAGAAAAAAAATCTTATAAACTTAACCTTCACCAGCTCCTGCAGTTCCTCTGGAGCAGACGGACATCCTGTCACAACTGGCCGGATTCAACTCATTATTCTCTGTGAGAAAAAAAGAAAGAGGAAATTAATATTCATTTAAATTCTGTAGCCCCTCATTTCTCAGTGAGGAGTTCAGGGGAATGAGGGAAGGCGGCGAGCACCTGAGATCTGAGACGGGGTGTTTGAGGACAGTGTTAGACTCCCTAGCATGGCCTCTGAGAACACGTCGGCTTCTTCAGACGGTGCTCAAATGGAGAGCAAGCCACCTATTCCAGTTTTGGAAGGAAAACCGACTGTGGGCCCTACCGTCCACCTGTGATGCAGGACCTTCCCAGGGAAAGTGGAGAGTCCTTTGCCTCAAGCTGTTGTTTGCCTTGTTGGCCCACACCAGCTTTATCTTTATTTAAGATCCATTTTCTTTAGATTGTAAGGCTTTCAGGTTTTCCACTATCTACTGAAATAGATGCGCCCTTAGAAACGTGATGCCTTTTGCCTTCACGATGAGCTCATGGGGCGAGTGGGGAGTGACCTGGGAGCCCAGCCCCTGGGTGTGTGGGCTTTGGAGGAGGCCCACAGGCAAGGTTTCCAGTCAGTACTTAGGGGGTCGGACAGGGTAGAGGATGAGACCGGGACACGCCACAGAAGTCTGAGAGATGTTGCCAGCTCCTGACAGCTCACTTATTTGGAGTGGCCCAGAGATCTCTGTGGCTGGGTTTTGTCTCTCTCATTCCACGAGCCACCCCCAGTGCCAGACCCACCGTGCTTCCTTCAGCAATCTGGAGCAAATGCTTATCCATACCTCATCTCTAAGAAATTGAAATAATTCTTTCAGCCTCCAGGATGGGTTTGTTGTTTGTTATTACAAGAAATGGGATTCACTTATTGAATTGAGCACCTTATCTATAGCTCAAGAGGTCACCTTTACCCTATGAGTGTGTTTCGTCCTTATTCTACAAGTTGGGGAACAGATCCGAGAAGTGAAATGACCCCGCTGCTGTGGGTGGGTCACAAATACGACTCTCCCTTTCTCCATTTGTCTCACATTCTGGGTGATACCCTGTCTCCGCCCTTCACAATCGGGCAGCTGTTGTTTCTAATTTTTTTTTTTTAAGATTTTATTTATTTATTTGACAGACAGAGATCACAAGTAGGCAGAGAGGCAGACAGAGAGAGGGGGAAGCAGGCTCCCCACTGAGCAGAGAGCCCAATGTGGCCTGATCCCAGGACCCTGGGATCATGACCTGAGCCGAAGGCAGAGGCTTTAACCAAGTGAGCCACCCAGGCGCCCTGTTGTTCCTAATCTTAAATTTCGTAGAAAGCTGCAGTTTGAAATATGGCATGGACGAGATAGGAATGGAATATTTGGAGGCATGAAAACTGTCCCTTTATTTTAGATCTTCGGAAAATAAAGATAATGCTTTTGTGCTTGGCAAACAGTAGCCTCCAGGCTACAGTGAAAATTGCACAGTGAAACGAAAAAAGGGGAAGCCTAGATTAAGCTGTGGGAAGACCCAAACAGAGTCTATTTAACTTATTTTCCATGTAGATGCCCCGTGAGTTCAGAAAGGGAGCCAGGGGAGGGGGGCACGTATCTGCTAAGAGTGATTTTCTCTACCTCGAGCTGCTAAGTGCCAGCCCCCCTCCCAGTGACACCCGAGTGTGGCACATTCCATGGCACCCCACTAATGGAAGCTTTTGCCTGGGGCAAATTTATTCTGAATTTTCCCTACCAAATATAGACTAATATCAAACAATGCTGCAGATTCTTACTTATTCCCCAATTGGACAGCTCCAGTGTCCAGAGTTCTGTCAACATTCCGTGTTGCAGTTCTGTGAGAACTGAGGGCGGTAAGGAAGCAGGGAAAAGGAGGTTTTCTTTTTAAGAGCTTAGGCGGTTTCTGTGAGCACAGTTCAGTCCATTCCCTTCTTATCCATCCTCAGGTGCACCACCAGCCTAGCTCTGCGGCTCTGTCTGTGGCGCTGGCCTTCGCCTCGTCCCCGTCACCTCCCAGGGTCCAAAACAAAAAGCCCCTGGTTGGCGCTGTGATGACGGGGTGCAGGGTGTCCGTAAAATGCTCAGAATCTTGGCCAGACTCTCAAGTGTATTGGTCTCAACTGGGCTTCTGCCAAAATCCCGTTTCTGTTTCGATGGATCTGGAATGGGCCGGGATAAGGGGGTGCCGATGTTGCCGGCGGTGCACCCCACTCAGAGCAGTGTGGTCCCACGGCTCTGCCGGGACACCTCTTTCTATCGGGAAACCGGCACATAGCGCGCAAGGCTTCCACTGTGTGTATTTTCTTCTTAAGTGCGCCGCCCACCGTTGGTCTTGCTCACAGCTCTGATCTGACCTCTTCTCCTTCTAGGACTGCCTCAAAGCCTGCCAGGAGCAGATTGAGGTGGTGCTGCTCAACAGCCTGCAGCAGTTCCGTCAGGACCAGGGGGACGGGTCCAAGTCGGAGGATGAGCTGGACCAGGCCAGCACCCCTACGGACGTGCGGGATATTGACCTGTGAGGACGCGGTCGGGCCGAATGGGAGAGACGCATTCACATCTGCTCTCTCCTTCTCTCTGGTTGTGTTTTGTTCTTTATGTTTTAGGATAAAACTTTAAAAACAAAAAAAAAAAAATTCTGCCCCCACCTAGATCGCATTGAAAGATCTTTTTAGAAGTGAGAGAAAAAGGTCCTATAAAAACGGAATAACTAAGAGCATTTGGTGCCTATTTGAAGTACAACAGAAGGGAATCCCTTTGTATATGCGAACAGTTATTGTTTGATTATGTTAAAGGTAATAGTAAAATGCTTACAGGAAAACCTGCAGAGTAGCTAGAGAAAATGTACGCCTGCAAATATGGGAACAAATTAGACGAGGTTTTTTTTTTTTTTCATGTTATGAACTAGCATGTACACACCCCTTGTAGGATAATTTCAAGGAACTTGCGTATGCCATTTATGGCATGATTAGATTGCAAAGCAATGAACTCAAAGAATTAGAAATAAGGGACACGATGGGGAGGGAGTACAAAACAATCTCTCAACCTGATTGAACCATTTTGGATGTAGAAGCCCCTTTGCTCTTGACCACCTGTTTGTTACTAAGTCTGGAGCATAGCTGACTCTAGTTACGAACTCTTGCTGTCTACAGTAGCTGCTACCTAAAAGAGATGTTTTATTTTGCCGGTTGGACACAGGTGATTGGATGCTGGGTTTCATGTGTTTTTGACATCTTGCTTCTTCTTCCAAACATGGTTCATTGCAGACACCACCATATTTTTATCAAAAGGGGCAATCTAACTTTGGGCCAGAACCAAAACTCCTATGAGTTGGAGGCAGATGGAGACCAAGGGTGGGATCTGGAATGGAATCTTTTCTCTTAATGTATTCAAGAGGGCAATGTGACCTTGGCATCCTTTATTAAAAAACTGATTTTTTTGGTGCTGATTGGCATGTCTGGTCCACAGTTTAGCATTGTTATAAACCATTCCATTCGAAAAGCACTTTGAAACATTGTTCCCGAGGGATAGATGGGATGGTTTATGCAAGTCATGCTGAATAGACTCCTCCCTTCTTCTCCTGTGCTCCTCCCCTCCTGCGCAAGTCGGGTGACTATTCACTTCTGGTATCTGACATTCTCTGGTACACAGTTCTGGTATCCCTACCGGGACTCAAGAGACACCCCTTTCCACCGACATTCCCATCACAACATTCCTCCAAAAAGCCTACAAAGATCTGTTACCATTTCGATGGCAAAGAAGGATCTTAATTCCCACCTATATACTTCTCCTTTGGACATGGAAAGAAAAGTTACCGCTGGTGCAGACAGACAGCTGAATAGCAGAGTGTGGCATTTTGTTCCCTTTTCCGTTTTTCGTTAATTTCATTGCAAAGTTGTATTCAGAGTACTTGAATTTTTTTTCCTCTCCACTTCTTAGAGGCATTCAGTTAGCAAAGAGGTTGGAGCAACAACTTTTTTTTTTTTTTGCACAATTATAATTGACAGGTAATGAAGCTATTAAAATATTTGCCTTTTTAAGTTAGAAAGAAAAATCAGAACAGGGCTGCTTTGAAGAATTATTTTATACACAGATTCTGCCTTGTTTCGTAGTATGAGGGTTGAAGATGGAGAAAAATCTAAGGTCTCTTATTTTTCATTTTATTGTGTTCAGTTTTTTATGATTATTTTTTTTTTTGCGCTGCTAAGAAGCTAAGATCATTCATCCTTATTCACATTAACAGTACCTAGCTGTAATGTTTCACAGAGTGTGCTGCTATTTTATAAACATTTTTATAATATATTATTTTACTGCTTAAATTCCAAGTCCTGAAGTAGATGGTTGAGATAGGAGTTCTTCGTACTGGAAAAGCCCTTCCATAGTTTTTTCTTCTGGTAGCGTATTATGGTTTTTTTTTTTTTTTCCCCGTTTTGTTTTGTTTTTTGTTTTTTCCTTTTGTTTTTGTTTTTGGGTTTTTTTTTTTTTTCTCTCTCTCTCTCTCATCACATTCTTCAAAGACGGAGCATTCTTTACCTCAGGTTTACTGGACAAACTCAATAGCTACAAAAGAAAATGATTCACATTTCTGTTTTCATAATACCTCACAACCGCATAGTTTCTGCTTGGGAGCCGTTAGTGTGGGGAAAGGAGAGGTCAGCGAGGAGGCCACAAGCCCCTCTCAGGTGGAGGGTGGGATGGATTTGGCCCTTGGGTCTGACACCTGGGGACCTTTTCAGTCATGAAGGTCATTAGGCTTCCATTTTGACTCCGGTATCCTTATCATGATGGAAAAAATACAATTGAACCAAGGGATTTCCCCTCCCCCCACCCCCCCAGGCCAGATGTTCAGCACAAACATTTGTGCAGTGAACTAGGAAGTCATAATTTGCACTAGGTACGAGGTATCAGGAGACAGACAGAAGAACTCCAGCAGGCTACTTGGAGATCCTCATCTTGTGGCCCTTTCTTAAAGCAGAGCTTTCTTCCGCTCATCTCTTTCCCCTTCCCCGACATGGCCATCCCCAGTTTAGGATCATCTCAGAGGCTTTTCTAGGTCTGAATCTGTGGGCATATGAATCTGCCGTGCGCGGGATCACAAGGGTGCCTCCTCCCACCTGTCTCAGACCGCAGCCGGCCAGCCCCTCTGCTAAGTGGCACTCAGTGGTCTTCAGGTTCGGCATTGTATTGAACTGGCGTGATGGGGAAAATAGGTCAGATGAGTATGGGAGTGGGAGCTGGAGGGAGGTGGAGAGGCTGCGTCTCTACAGAGATGCCATTCCGGGTGAGTCAGTCTCTCTCGAAGTATGTTTGGAAGGGTTCAGGATTTGATGAGTTAGCACAACCCTAAAATTCTAGGGAGTTTCGGGTAGGACAGTGGGTGGTGAATTCTGAAGTTTTGGAGAGGAAAGCTGAGCAGCCAGTGTTTTGTCAAGAGCTCACTTTGCCTAGGACGCTCTTTCAGACCCTTGAGGAGTAACACAGAATGGAAGGAGGTGTGGTCCCTAAGTCCTTAGGAGTCTTGGAGCCTAAAGAAAGCAAGGTACAAAGTCACTCAACAGTGACATCTCTAACTAAGCTCAAACAGAACCTGATGAATAAGGAAGGGAAGAGGCTTACAGGCTCTCCCTGCAGTCTGTAACTTCCTAGTTTTCCTGGAGCTCTGGGTGCCACTGGGGCCTTCTGATCTTTTTCTCCTTCTTGTCCTTGGGGCCTGGTGTGATGGGAGGTGTGGTGTTACTGGTGGGGAAGGTGCTAGGTTGTTTGGCTTTTCTGCCTACTCCCTCCTTATACAAAAGAAGGAAGCTTGGATTTCTTAGGTAGCTGATGCCCCCTCCTTAGATCTTGGTTTCCTTGGTAGGAATTTTTGTGTGAGAGGGAGTTCAGCTCTCTCCCACGGATTTTTTTTCTCTTTCTCACCTCCCACAAATGGGGTTCCAGATATATTCTGGTCTTTCTTACTTTGTTGTCTTTCTGTCTGTTCTTCCTCCTCTCTGTTTTTGGTTTTTGGTTTTTTGGGTCATTGTTGTTAACTGTTTTTCTCCATCAGTGGGAGCTAAATTGTTCCCCTAAGCCTGCCAAATTTTATTCCTTCCCCTATTTTGGCCAAATCCCAGGGGGAAAGTCCTAGTATGCCAAAAATGTATGCTAAGCATTATTCAATTCCATGCAGGTTCCTACCAGCCAAGAAGCCTGCAGGTGGGAGCAGGGGACAGGTCCCTCCTTAGAATGTCTCCCCATGTTGAGAGGAGGGCACCTCAGAGGAAGGGGCTTGTCTCAGAGAAGGCTTTATTCTGGAACTGCCCCAGGACCCCACTGAAGAGCTTACCATGTCTCAACAGCCAGACCCTTTTGGTCTACGCTCTCTGTACAGGAGACTCTTGGTCTGCTGCTTTTCCCAGGCAGCCGGAGGCTGGAAGCAGCCCTCTGCCAGCAGGATGGGCTTCTCTTCAGAGGGAGGTGTGGCTTTCCCGTGGTCTGGCCTTTCCACACTGCCCCGGGGACCTCGAGGACAGAGGTGAAGAGCGTGAGGCGGGATTGAATGACTTGCTCACGAGAGGGCGGGGGAAGTTTTCTCTCCATGGGCCACAGGGGGCAGGGCTGGGAGAAGAAAGAGACTTGCACCTTATATCATGTAAATAATGATTTTCTAGTTCAAGAAGATAATATTGGTAGTGTGGGAATGGCAGGTAGGAATAGGGAGGAAGTCTGAGTAAGCCAGTTGGCTTCTAAGCCAAAAGGATTCCTCTTTGTTTATCTTTGAGACAGTCCAACCCTGAGAATAGCTTTAAAAGGGAAATTAGTGCTGAGACAGTAAAGTCCCCTTAAGCCGACAAATTGTAGCTACATAGAGTGAGCGCAGGCTTCTATCGGTGGGGGCTCGGAGCAGTTTCGAAGAGCCACTCATGTTGTCGTCCATTTGTACAAAATAGGGCAGGAAGATTCAGGAGGACGTTTATGACTTTCTCGTACCACGTGGCTTTTCATGACTCTGGATTCTAAACAACCCAGAACAGTCCTTTCGGCCAGAGCTATTCTCCTACATTTGTGTGTCTCTGCTTTTAGACTTAGCTGGACTATCAGACCCGATTCTTGGCTCAGGTTTCCAGAAGCCATCAGCAAATGTACACATGCACGCTGTCGCTGCAACATTTCTTCCTTTGCCTGCAGCCTACTTTGGGGGAAAAAGTGCCTTACTGACTGTAGCCATTACAGTATCCAATGTATTTTGACAGGTGCCTGTCCTTTAAAAAAAAAAAAAAATTTTTGTTTTGTTTTGTTTCTTTTTTTTTTTTTTAATTGGTTTTTGTTTGTTACTGTTGGCCAACTCTTAAGTCCCCAGCAAATCACTGGGCCATTGGATTTTTTCCATTATGTTCATTACCCTTGTACCGTGTACCTCAGATCTCTTTCTCTCTCAGTTACAGTTTCTCGTCTTGGACTTCTTTTATTATTATTATAATTTTTTTTTTTTTTTGCTTTAAAATGAGTGTGATGCCATATCGAGTCAATGTTATTCTCTCACAATATACTCTATAAGAGGTGTGGGTGTTTATTTGGTCGGGATGCTAGCAAGTGCTAAAGTAGCATGATCAGTATAAGCAAAAGGTTTTTAGGAAGTATGGAAAAAAATGTTTTATTGGTTATGATGGTGACATGGTATAGTCAGCTGCCTTTGAAGAGGTCCTGCCTGTTCAGTGTTAAGTGATTTTAAAAAATAATGGCCTGTTATTCTGACCAGCTTAAAGATGGATTTGCAAATGGTTTTGGATGCAATTAGGTTATGCTATTTGGACAATAAACTCACCTTGACCTAAAAATTCTCTGGCCACTTTGCCTTATTTATAGACCGGCAGCCCTCAGACCAGAATGTGTCTTTCTCCTGTCGGAACTCTGTTGGCAACAAGTGGTAGTGGCATAAAACACAAATCCTAACCTGAAAGGTACCCCACATGTGTATCCATGTTACTACAATACACGTAGTTAATGGCTTTTCTTCTCCCTTTTGGGTACCCCCCTGGGGAGCCATCTCATAAACTAGAAGCTTCAGCCCACCCTCCTGAGGTGGGCAAGTCCCTGTGATGGCGACTGGGCTTTGTTTCTGATGATTGCCGGCTCTTCACTCTTGCTGTGAGTGAGTATCTCCTCCCTTGGGAGGTGCCAGAGGTCTTGGGTGCCATCTCCAGACTCTGAGGGGGTCTCTGGAGAACTCCACTTCTGAAGGTGTCTTGACTCATTCTGCAGCACCTCGAGGCTCTCACCTGATTCCAACCTGGTCTATAACTCTCCTGTGAGGATCGGGTCATAACTACCTTTGGGGGAGGGGTGGTGAGGCAGAGCCTAGGAGGGGGTTGGGGGTGGAAGAGTGCACATATAAATATACATATTTATACATATACATATTTATATGTTTATAAATAGACAAATAAAAAACAAATAAATTGCC